CACAAATTTAATTACAATATCGATGGTTCTAATTATAGTACAATAATAGTTTAATCAACCACAATCTATTTGTGATTGTCCGGGACTAACTTTGGTGGTGACGTGGCGCACTTTCGTGGTGTCAACAAATAACACGTTATTATGAAATTACAATATTGGAATTACAGTCCACAGATATGTACCTATAATATATTATATTATTATACATATCTGTTATTGAAATATAGTAATATTAGGATCTATAGAATTATAAAAAGAATTGCAGAAACAATACATCTGGGGGAGTGCTTGGGCCCTCCTTAGATCCGTTCCATATTCTTCCATGAGTCCACAAACAACAGATGATATTATTATATAAACTATTTTAGTTGTTGAATATTAGACACCACTTACTTTCTCTGCTGCAGGAGGGCATTTCAATCTCCCCAAAAAAGTGCTTTTTAACAATAAATAACAAGTGTAATTTTTTGAAGAATGTATTGAGAATTTCGAAAACATTTTCAAATAAATTACTACAGAAGTGAAAAATTTGCATCTTTTAATGGCATTTCTACCCGAAAAGTATTCTCTAACAATAAAAAAAAACATTTTATAATATTATTAGGTTCTTGTTATATTCAGAATCTCAAAAAAATTTATATGGGGGAAAGGTGTGGGGGTCCCCATGACATTTATTTAAGAAATTACCTCCCCCCCTCGCAGAAAAAAATCGTAACTATGTCACTGACTACATTTCATAAGTTTTTAATTTTTTTCTTTTTGGTATAATTAGTGAATTTATGATACATGGTTGATATTTCTTATCCAAATGTTGCTAGTTGCTATATTTTAAAAATAAGAAATAATTAGTTTAAAAACGAAAACAAATTTAATTGTTAAATTGCATTTAAAAAAAACATTCTTATTAGTCAATTTTTAACATAAAGTCAGGCGTAAGCTACACTCAACTACATATACACAAAGAAAAAGAGAATTGCCATCACCGTTGGCGTAATATTTAATCATTTTATCTCTATGTAGCAAATTAATGAATTCAATCGATCCCGGTGGTTTACAGCAGGCTTTCTTGAAAGGCTTTATTTTTCATAGTTGAGGTAAAACAAAAAAATTTGGACTCACCCAATTAAAATATGGATTTTAACATGTACTGCACATAATTACAGCAAATTCTTTATTTATCTATATTGACTACATAATCCATGTGTTCCTCATTAAATAATTTTACTCATCTAAAGTTCAATCTGTTGGGACATCAGATTGATAGTCGAAGAACATTGTTTTTGTTAAATTTGTTATCATTAGCCTGCATTATCAACACATAATATTATTAGCAAGGCATTATAATTCCGCACTTTTAATGATTTTATTCACAATCAAAAATATATATACTTAATTTGCTTTATTTCAAATTTTGAATTATGTATTTTTAAAATATCGTAATTGGAGACTGAAGACAATAAATTGAATTAAATACTAATCAATATTAATCAACATTTAATATATTTAAATATTTGGTTAGCCAATATATAGGTAATATAAAGTTGCGAATTGTCACGTCATACGATTATATACCATAATCCACAGATGACTGTGATACACTATAACAACTAGGTATACATATCTTCAAGCTCAGATATTTTCGATAACAATACCATGATGATTATTTGAAAAGTAGTTTACGAAGTAAAATATCATTTTTTTCCAAAACAGGAATTGGACTACTGAAAGTATGTTTATTTTACTTTTATTTGAAAAGTCTCAACGTGTGAAAAAAAAAACCAATTGCTTTCTATTGCCTTAATAATATTTTCAAAAATCAACGGTATACTTTATAAAATATACTATACACAGTATGATGTATTATGCGTATCAACATTTTTAGAAAAATGTTCTCTCTTGATAGCGAGTTTAAAACTCGAGTTGTTGTTTGAATAATAATAGAAAAATATAGGTATGCGTCAGGGCCTAAAATACATTAGATTTCAGAGGACATACTTTTTACCTCATTGATAGAAATAATAGATTTTCACAGACAAAAAAAACCTGTAGCGGGCATAGTTATTTATACACTACTTTACCTTTAATATTTATAATTTGTATTATTTATAAAAAAGTGTAGGCTAAAAATTATCAACGCAATTAAAAGTAATTTAAAGTGTAAACAATTTTAATGATATAAAATAATTCGAAATGAATAACATGTATTGGTTAGCGTGAGATCATTAGTTGAGTTTAGTTAGTAAAAGTTGGCTGATTTGAAGCTTTACTGTTGTTTCTACAATTAAAACTATTGTACATGTTATAAAGATTTTCGCATACATTTGTATTTCAGGAAACACTATTTTAGGTCATAGTATGCATTTATTAATTGTGAAATATGTTGAAAATGTATTGCCCGTAATTAAGATTTTATAGTGATTGAAAAAAAAACCAATTTCGAATTCATTGGTCATTTGTGACAAAAAAAAAAAAAAAATTACTGTAATCTGTATTTATATAATATTATCGTGAATATTGGCAGTTAATTTTGTTACAATATTGTTCGAGTTGAAAGCTGTAATCGGCTCTTTCGATTGTTTTCTCATTTACTATTAACAAATGTTTTGTATTATTTTATGCATAAAATATTGTTTATTATACGACCGGTTATTTTTCCTACATATTTAATAGTACCAGAGGCCAAAAAAGGTTTTTTTTTCAGCACAACCGAAACGACCGGAGTTTTCGTTTATAAAATACAATGCTTAGTATAGGACACCGTATACTGAATTCGTTATGCCGTCCGAAACAACATAATATCCAATAACGTTTATGATATTCTGCGAATAATTCTATTTCGTACATATTATAATACGCATGTTATATTCCTATGTTCATATAATTGGCACTCGAACGTGTTTGCCCGTCTGTTTGTTTTTTTAACGACACGGTGTTTTTTGTTCCACTGTCCCCGTGGGTCAAACTATATGTAGAATTTTCAACGCAACGTTTTTTAGATATTTTTTTTTTCTTCGTTCATTGTACAGTCGGGGGGAGGGTAGGGTTAAAAGATACTTGCGAGATTCGACCCGAGATAAAATACGTGTTCGGTACAAACACACTGCGGCAGTTATAGCTGTTTTAGTACTATAGACGCGAACGCATTGTTTATTGCGCGGTCGTCGTCTTATATATATATACATTATACATATTATATAGGCACCTAGGTAAGTCGTAATAAATTCAGTGTCGGGCGAAAACGGTTTTCGAATTAAGGTTTACAGATACATGTTCAATATAAGAGTATGCGGTAAAAACAATAAAACGTTATTACCAAATCGTATTCCTCGAGTTCATACAAATATTATTATACCCTAAGTATTAAAAACATGTAATTCACCTCGGTAAACGTGTGGAAATCGTTAAGATTCTGTACGAATATTCTAAATGTTATCGGAGTCATTCAATATAATATTGTATTTACGTATTTTTTAAATTTTTTTTATTTATTATTAAATCATACATCAGACAAATAGACGATTTATAATAATAACTACTTCATTTAAACAATACTTGTAGTGGTGATGGTGGTGGTGGAGAGTTGAAATTATTAAAACTGACAAATATAATTTGATTAAAAATAACAATTCAGGAAAAATTCTTATGAAATATAGGTACAATGCTTAAATCAAGTAATCAATTATATAAAAACATTATTATTATAATACAAAAATATACAAATAAAACTATCTATACTAAAGATGTTAACAACCAGTTAACAAAATTCGTATTATTTATATTAGAGTTTTGAATATTCCCGTAGTTATTAAACACAAATTATGTACTATAATTTTGAAATATTATATTAGGGACGGCACATCTTTAGTACTATTAGACACAAGGCGCACTCGACGAATCGATTGTTTTCATTACTTACTACTCACTGAGTATCTAAACCAGTGTTTCCCAATTTTTTTTACTCAACACTTCTTTTACATTTTCAAAAACTCTTGCCACCATCTCTCCCCATAAATAAAATAAAAATTACAGTTTAGTTTTTATAATCAGCCATTTAATTAAAGTGAAAAATAAATATTTTCTTCATATTTTGAGCTTGGACATTTTATTATAATTACGAATAAGTATAACTCACGTGCATGCACACTAAATTATAACTTCATGTAATAAATCGAGTATACGATATTGTCAGAAATATTCGTATGAAAATGGGACCTTTCGTTGTTTTTGTAGTGTGTATAAAATATGAAATTATACAATTATTTTCTATTGTATGCATATATATATTTCATTGCAATAAGTTATGAATTTGCTAATATTATTTTAATAATATTATAATTGTTGTTGATAACAGCTAATTATTTATAATAATGAAAGTCACAGTAGAATCGCCCTCTCCTCAACGCTCCTTTAAGTAAAAAAGCCTCCCTCAAAATTAAAAAAAAGCCCACAAGGGGCGGTACCGCTCACGTTGAGAATCACTGATTTAAACTAATTCGAAAGCATTTATTTTTCATTTTTTTAACACGACACTGGCCATTGTTAAAATAATTAAACGACGCCGTTTTACACGACCGGAGCGCGGATTACGATCGAGATCGACAAGTCGTGTTGTTTTAATAATTCTTGTGTACGATATAATTACGAAAAATAACATATTCTTACTTGAAAATATAATGTATTTTATAGTGGGAAAAAAAAACAAACATAATACGTGAATGAATAACTGAGCATTATTATTCGTAAATCATAATATATGATACCATAAACTGTATATAACATACCTACTCTCCTGTCCCGTGACTCTTCCTTCACCGCCACCGCCGCTACCCAAGCAATCAGTGCTTACGCACGCTCCCAAACACACCCATACATGTTACACACACACACACACACACATACAAACACAGATACGGTCGCACACACACGCAAAATGCATACAAGCAAACACGCAAACGGGTGAGTGGGACGATCGGCCGGCGTGGCAGCGGCGGTGGTGTCTGGAATATCCGACGACGTCGCCGTCTCGGACGGTAGGCCGCCGTGTACCTATACTGTGCACCACCACCGCGCGCGCACAAGACACGTACCAACGAAACGCCGCCGTGTTGTAAAACGCATAATCAAATAATAACCGTTGTTGTATAAGCATCACAGTTGAGCTGGCGCGAGCTATGACGTCGTACTGCGATGATGTCCGTCATCGATCATCTTCCGTACTCGTTCGGCGGTTATTACGGTTCGTTTTATCATCGATCACGATCACAGCAGCCGCCGCCGCCGCCGTCTCCGCGGGTGTAATCGCAACCGCGGGTGTCGCTGTCGTGTCCACCGACGACCTGGTACGCGACGCGCGTTGTCTCGCCAAGTGTTACCGTCAAATCTCCTCCGAAAAGCCCAAAGTACGTACACACATACACGCGCACGTCTTATCGTTATTTTCGAAAATACCTCGTAAATCACGTCGTGTCCGTCACATTCGACTTGCTGGATTTACAAACGACTTGGTGGGCCGGAGTAATTTTCGGTTAAAAAAAAAAAAAATACAATAATAAAATACTCGATCTAAAACCCGATACCCGTATATTTTCATTAGTTTAATATGGTATGCATTATTATGTACTCGTTTTCAAGTTATATGTAAGTATACGTTACATAAAACGAATATGCTTTACGCGGTATTTGTTTTTAAATATTCGTAAAAGTGTTGGAAAGCCACTACGACCTAAACCTAACCTAACCCCGAACACGTATGTAAATTTACTAAAAAAAAAAAAATGGCGAAAAATATGTCTGAAATATTCATATATATATATATATATATAGGGTGTAGGTATATCGGTTATTTATATTGTATCACTTCAGCATTGTTTCTGATAATCCTGATATTGGCTTATTCTACCGGGAATCGAAATCTGTATATGAAATATAAATGATGCGTAGTAATCACTGCACAAAAAAATGTGTGAAATTTTAAAGGAAAACAACCAGTTTCGTGTAAACCGTATGTAAATAACAATAACGGCCCTTGGACGACTCTTCCATCACGCAGTATATGAGAATTAGTTTTGAAATCGCCGTTCATAAGCTATAGAGATTTAGGATTGCTATAAATCCGATAGCACGACGATTGCCTAAAGATTTTAGGATAATATAATGTCATATGCGTACATTATTCTAATTTAATCGTTAGTTTAAAAAAAAAAAACTTTTAGATCGAAACAAGAAATTTATTCATTTTACTGCGTTTTTTTTCGTGCCTGTAAATATATTTTCTACCAGAAATCTTGCTCCAACGAAAAACTTCATGGAAACTTTCTAGTAGAATCTTTGATTTAGTATGATACATCGAGGTGGTCACTTTTTCATTGTTCTTGTAGTTAATGGTAGTTAATTGTATAAATGGAAAAAACGAGTAATTTTTCTTATAGAAAAATGCATTAAAAACACGCGTTGAAAACGGACTGGAATATCGAACAAACTATTTTGTTGTTTATTTTGAACATATTATTATAATTGAAAACAACAATTAATAGTTTTTCATCGTGGTGTAGTTATCTCTACGATTAACGAGTAGAACAACATTTATTTTTATACCAAACGAAAATAGAATTGTCGACGACTATTTAAACCCATAGGCGTAACTAGACCACTGAACTTTGGGAGAGGGGGGACTTAAATTATAAAGACATGGGGGTAATATTCCCGAAATTTCCTTTATATGACATTTATGATAAGCAACTATAAATTTTATTCACAAGTTATTATAAAAAATGTATCATAACTTTTTTAACTTAATTGTTTATACGAGTACACAGTACACACACGTATTGTCTGCAGGTAATCTGTATTTTGTTCTACTTATTAATATTACTTAAGAAATACGTTGATAAAATATTTAGTTGACACTATAAAAAAGCTTATTGGGTATTTTTTCTTAGGGAAGTGCAGTGGTTTCTACAGATTCACTAGCAGCCCCCTAGCTTCGGCTATGCTTAGGTATACCATATTTATTTAGTTATTAGTAAGTTCACGAACGAGTTTTAATATGTTAAAGTAAACGAATGAACAACCGTCACAATAAAATTTCTTTGAATACATTTTGAATAATACGCTATGGAATATTCTAGTCGTATTACGATAAAAAATTATTCGTTGTTCAGCAATGTCGCGGTAAATACCCGTTTAGTTTTACCATTTTTCTTTTAACGTTATATGAACTCTAACTCGTATAAATATTCTTAATACGTACAATATATAATTATTAATCTCAGGCATGTTGTTTTTGTGTAAACGTTTGTGTTATTTTAGCAACGAAATTTTAAAATAAATTGGCATGAAATGATTTATCAAACAAGGGAATAAAAAAAATCCCGTGTGGTTGGTCATTATATTATAGGTATATACTATTATAACAATTCACAATTACAAATGAGGGGACCGGCGGCGATGTTTATATTATTATTATTTGTTCATACACCAGACGAAATTATTATATGTTTTTTTTTTTTAAGTGGGCGGATGAATGTAAAAATTATTCACTCAGCAGTATACAATAGTAGATATACAGAAATGCAGAACTCTAACCTTGCTCATAATATAATAATTTTGTATTCAAAAATTCACAATAACGTCAATACCTATACGGTTTTAAATAGAAATAAGTTTTTTTCAAATGATATTTTATTGGTAACAAGCTGTGCTACTCGGCTTCGCTAAAAAAATGTTTAAATAAAGTTAACTGATACATTTTTATTATAATGTATGCTGTTACCATAGATACCCACACAGCACAGGAATCGCGCTACAAAAAATGAATACCAATGTTTTTCTTCATCCGTGTTACCAAGGTAACCCATAAATCAACAAAAATAATTAGATTTTTATACGAAAAATACTTAAAAACCGAATTTCAGGGAATGGTATTTTACCTATATAGGGAGTGGATTTCGGCGGTAATAAACCTTTACCGGATAACGTGGAAAAACTTCCCAAATGTCCATAGCGATCGGATGAATAGTGTGGTAATGTATAAAGAACAAACAGACACACATTCGTTTTTAAATGTATAGAAGAGTAGATAGATATACCCGTATAGATGATTAAAGATAATGTCAAATGTACATAAGAGATTTAAAACTATATTATTATTGTTGCAGCAAGATGATGGTACATACGATTTAGGATAGATTTTTGGATTTTCCAGTACCACATTCTTCATATTTTTGATATTTTTCAGAATTTGTTTGGACGACCGTTATTATCACTAAAGTACTTAGGAGGGGGCTGCAGAAATGTTTCTCCGGTCCTCGAATTTTTTTTAAAAAAAAGTTCAAGCACGAAATGCATGTTTTTATGGTATCGTCGTTAAGTTTTCCATTCGTTTATATTTATTTAGACTTCTTACGATCGTTATAAGCTAAATAATGATTCATTTCAATCACTCACTACATATATCAGTATATTTGTACTTGTTTCGGTAACACACACGCAATTTGACGGGTGGATAGGTAAGTTGGTTGGTAACATAATTTGGTGGTACTTTATTAAGTAAATGACATATACATGTATATATATAAACACATATGTAAAACTCTGAACAAAATCGGGGAACATTATTAAGCTCTAAAGAACACAATATCACGAGAAGAACATCTGATAAAAAAAAATTGTTGAAACACCCTACTGTAATATATATACTATATAGTATTCCATAGTTCTATACAATCATGACAAAAAGCAAAATATTTAACTATATGTACTATTGGTAACTTTTCCGTCTTTCTTACATTTTTCCTCGATTTTCTTAGTTATTGAAAAAACTACAAAGAAAAAAATAAAGACATAGATAAACGATAGTTTTATTGGAAATTTTCGAATTATTCAGATCGGGAAAATGAATATGTAAATAATGTATTTTAATAATCAATTTACAATTTAATATTGTTACCACGATCACGACAATCGTTTTTGTCATTTGTCCAAAATATTTGGCTACTATTTCTTATCTCTGAACGATCTGAACTAACGCGTTTAATTTTCCGAACACTGGACATGGGAGCATTAGATCCGAGAAAGCATATGAAGTAGACGAATAAATGACGATGGAATAGGGGGGCGGGAGTATATGAAGGACACTAGAATAAGAGTAAATAAGCGGGGAAGACGAAGAAGAAGGATTTATTTAAAAATGGTGGCTAACGTATATTATTTTTTAATGGTAATCGGCGACGACGGAAACAATGCGCATAAAAATATTATACCTAGTCGCGATCACGAGGAAAACGAGAAATCGCCCGCGCAAGAGTACATGCCATTAATTGCGAATATAATACATTATTTATACACGTCGTTATTATATTATGTTACAAACCGGTTAGGTTAGATTAGGTTAGTCGTGGTCGATATAGTGCACGTGTGATAATATACGGTAGATAAGTAACAAAAAAGCCATCGTACATATTATTGTAATATACAAGACAAAGGAAATCGATGTATCCAGTTAGATTTTGGTTTAGATTTTAAATGTGTAGCGAAGAAGCTATAGGCATTAGTATTATCAACACAGTGACGGACACTTGTAATATAACTTTTACTGTTATATTAGTAGCTTTATTATACGCTTATACGCTACGTCCAAAATCTATGTAAATTGCCAATGTGAACTGCCGTAATGTGGCAGTCCACTGTCTTCTATGATTTGATACCGTTGAAAAGATTACTTCTTCAACAGTATTGACGTAATATGAAATTTTACATATTACTGCTATAGCAGTACTTTATTTGAAATGTTTTTTCTGAATCCCTTATATTTTTTCTGAACATTTCAAAAAAAAAAAAACCGACAACCATGAAAGAATGGGAGAAATGCGATTAAAACTATTTAACCTACACAGTTTATCGAGCTCTGTTCAGAATCATTTTTCGATTGTAATGGTTTGTCGTTGCTATAAGTGATGTATATCCTAAACCTTTCCCAACTTCCTACCGAGAACAGTGTTGACCGTGGCGCTAAGTACGTCCGGCTTTTCTTCTTTTTTTTTCGCTCACTTTATTTCACGATTTCACTAGAGATAATTATAATACAACAAACTATTATCACATGTACAGTAAGAACACTAAAATACGACGACGGGCGAATTTCCGTGTACATAATCGGCTTTTTTCGCAGTGTTACAGCGGCTGTATGGACGAACGGTGGATTAAGCCGGGCGAGTGTCCGGTCGGCGACGACGACGTCGTCTCGCTAGACCGACCGTGTCTGGAGCAATGCGCCTCGGACGACTCCTGTCATTCCGAGTACAAGTGTTGCCGGCACAGCTGCGGCGTAACGTGCCAACCGCCCGTCGGTCTGGCCGACAGTCCAGGTATGTGTACGGCAGCGTCACCCGCGACGTTGGGTATTGTATTCGCACTTTGCGGATTGATTTTATTGTTTTCCCGCGATCATATTTACTCGGTTTAAATTTGCTCGCCTTATATCGTGTACACTGTACACATATAGAAGTTCAAAGTGAGCACGTATGTTCCGCGTGAATGTGCTCGGATCTAGCCGCTATGATCCGACGCCGGGGAGTTGTGACGCGATCCATCGCTGTGTGGAATTTAAATTCGGTTTTTGCAATACGATACGTCCACAGGTCTGCCGAACGTGCCGAGAGTGATAGCCGTGTCAGACTCCGGCAAGGCATTAGCGGTTGAGTGGACGCAGCCGACTTCTGGAGTCGCGGCCGCGGGCCACGTCACGTACGTGCTTCAGGAACGGCACCACGTGGGCGCTGAGTACGTGCCCGAGCGGATGACCGTGTGGACAACGGTCATCCGGACGGATAGGACGCGGGAACATCTCAGACAGTTGTACGCACCCGGCCGGTGGTTCCAGTTCCGCGTCGCGGCCATCAACGAGAACGGCACCAGAGGCTACTCGGCGCCATCCAAACAGTTTTTCGTTCACATTGAACCGCGTAAGTGATGTATCATGTGATGGATCAAAATTTAAGTGTGAGCTTCCATATAGAAATTGAAATTTTAGATTCTGAACGGAGCAACGAATATATTGGGTTTACGATGATGTGTATTTTTTTATTTTTTATACTGTGTACAAAAATTGTAATTTTGATAGGAAATTTATATTTTCCTTTTATAGACGTGGTCAAATTTTCAAAATTTTGAGCCATTTTCAAGCTATTAGACATTTTAATTTTGCGAGTTTTTTACGTAGTATTTATTCGGTAGGTACTCTGTGGATAAAATTATTAGATCGAACAGAAATGCTTGACAATTTAACAGGAGGTTCATTAAAAGTCTTAATTTGAGATCAGAAAGAAAATTTTGTGTAATGTGAAATAGTTATAATTTTTTTTTATTTTGTGGTCAACAAGAAAAAATTGAGATTAATATAATATATATATTTTTTAATAAGAATTTTAATTTCAAATTTTGATGAAAATCGTAAATATTACGACCTTTTAAACACGTATAACCAAACTCCGCTCAGAAAGTAACCTATAATAGTGGCTCATCCATCGTGCGAAGTATATCCGTCTTTTTTACTTGAAACTCATTTGTTCGCCCGCGTTTAAAATATCAAATTCCTGCGTGATAAATGTTGTCCAAAATCGACGTATGACGTATTAATTATAGTCAGGACTTATTCAAAAAATGTTTTGAAAAATTACAGCCGAGTGGAAAACTCCTATTATTTAAGGTGTACCGTGTGAATATGTGGGTGATTTTTATAAACCGTAAAATTGTCGTAGATATTGAAAAAAACCCCAGACATTTTTAAAAAAAAAAACTAAAATAAAATGTCTGTTCCAGATATAAATCCACCTGGATTACCCGAAAATCTGACCGTGTCATCGTTAAAATGGTCCGCAGGAGGAAAGTACCAACAGTGCCTGCTGTCGTGGTCGCCGCCCGACTTTTCCGTCATACCCGTCCGGAAGTACAAAGTGTTCATTAGCGTGCGGGACGGACCGCACGTTTACCAGAGACGTCATATCGTCCCGGCGGTAAGTTGCCCGAAGTCAACTAACTTGACCTAACTTGACCTTACTTGACTGCTCGACAAAAAACACTGATTCCCGTACTCGTTCCGAGTATACAAATCCCAGCGTTATTCTTCTTGTATTTCGTAGTCGCTATTCTCGGTAATAATAAATAGATGACAACAAACTACTAAAAATAGCAATAACTAATAACCGTAAAAATTTCGATTACACTCACACTGCAGTAAATTACTCGTATAGCCTAATATCCAAAAATGTCATTATGGGGTAGCGAGGGGTAGGTACTGCTACGCCACTATTTTTAGCGAGGTTCCAAATTAATAGCTTCGCTACCGCTACCCTATGAGTAATTCTTTAGCTTTTTTTATAACACGATTATACTAACGTAATAATTACACAATCGGCTATAATAAATTTGAACGTATTTACAGATTAGTCAAGTGATTTCTAAATTGTTTACTTTATATCTTCTAACTAATTCTAATGAGCAATTGACAATTGAACCCTATTGACGATCCGCGACGTGAGGGACGCAACATTAAACTACAACTGAAATAAAAATTGTATTCAAGATGCTTGTTATACCTTATGATTTTATTTCAAATGACACTTACCAATATCGCAAAGTTTTCTATATATATATTTTAGATGATTTATCCAGAAGTGACAATTTGTCGTTAATACAATTATTGAAATATAATATTTTTATTTTATATTTCGAACGAAGCAATGAATGTACTGGTTTTGAAAAAAAGATATTTTTTTTTCTGTAAACAACTTTTCTATCAACAATTTTGCTCAGATTTTCAATGAGAGCACTTTTTCTGAAAAGAAATCGGACTGAGGAGTAACTCTAAGGAGGTCATTTTTCTATTTTTCCAGGATTTTTCCCAATTAATTAGAAAAACCGAAAAAAAAAAAACGAGAAAAAAGGTACAATATTAAACAAACATTATTAAAGAAAAAATATATAATGCGTATGTAATTTTTTTACCATAATATGATATATATATATATATATATATATATATATTGTATATATATACAGTATATATTGTTGACAAAGCAACTATGTTAATCGAACTCCGCTCAGAGTCGTTAATTCGTTAGCAATGTTTTATCGTTGCGTACATATACATCAAATTTCTCCTTTACTTTCTCAACTACTCATCTAAAACAGTAGACCACCCACGTGCGAAGTATGTCCATCTTTTTTTTTTTTAATTTTCTTTTTTTTAACCTAACCGCTGAATTTAATTTGTTCAGTGTACACTCTTCTGCTGGTATACAATTTTACTTTTGACATTTTTTTTTTGCTTATTGTTACATATAATTATGGTTCAAGAATTAATTTAGAATTTTTATTTTAGTCAATATTTTAGGAAATATGTGTTTGATATTTAAATCAGCGATTGGTACCCAAAATAGTCGACAACTTTATATAGAGTATATAACTCTATAACCCTATATATACTTATATGCGTCCATAGTACCTCAGTGTGACAGTGTCCTTACTGCTATAGGCAACGCATATATGCGTCCATAGCATTTAAAGGGTTAACGTGTTATGTTTTTAAACTTCGAATATAAGTACATAAGTATTATTATGTTTAGCTATAAAAAAAAATCCTGATTACAATTTTATAATCTTATATCGAATCGAACGTGTGTGCCACAAATTAAAATTACAAGAAATTTGTTTGTAATCCAGTTATCGTCATCTACAACAAATATTTGAAAAAAAAAAGAATGTGAAGTTTGATAGTCGTACGTGATCATAACAAAAGTATCGTTTCGCCAACCAGATTAATATTTATGTGATTATTGATTGAGTATTTAATTGCGGAACAAGTCACGATTTGTTCATATATGTTACAGCTCACATGTCGGCTGCTGGCCAAAAACAAAATTTAATTTTCAAGTTAATCAACAACGTAAAATGATTGAATGTTAATTATGTTATCGACAAAAAGTATCGCGACTGTCGAGAAAGTTTGGTGAGAGTCTTTAAGATACCCACTTGGATAATTTAGTAGTGGCGTGCTAAAGGGAGGGGAAGTTAGGGATTTATCTCTCTCCTCCCAAATGACTTAAATCTACAATAACAATGAGTATTTATTTAGTAATTTTATCTTGAAATTATGTATTTCAGCAAAGTTACAAGGAAAAGCTTGATTTATTGATTAAAAATTGTTTTTTTTCTAACACGGCTTTTAAACTCTTAATTTGTACCAGTTAGGTATAATATGAGTAGATTTTATCATATATTTATGAATTATGATTATTATATTTACTGACTCTTCTCTTATTAAAAATTATTAAGAAAATTAAAAAATGACTTTCTTACTTGCCAACTGTAGATATCAACAATTTTCATTCAGAAAAGATGCTACACTTGAAATTTGGATTAAGATTTTCAGTGAAAAGTTATTGGTACACTTCAAACGTCAAAAAATCAAATTAAAAAAAAAAAAAAAAAAAATCACGAAATATCATAATAAAACTAATGCATTATGTTCACTGCTTAGAATCTATAAACGTTGACAATAGCGTATTAATATATGTCTATCTTACTTCTTTTGGAAAAGCAAATTTCGTTTGATTGCCATTTGTAATTGTATATTTTTTTTAGGTAACTGGGTTTAAGAATAGTAGACAAGTTTGGGTGGTTTGCGTTTGAGCGAGTATGTACAAATTACATTGTTTTTTGGGCAATTTTCCACAATGTGTTTGGGCGAGTGATTTTAAAACATTTTAATGTGTTTGAGCGTCTGATTCATTATCTCTCTCATTTTGACAGAATCGGGACTATTTGTAAATTCCACGAGTATTATTAAAAATTTTCAATCGAAATGTATAGTTTATTTCGTTTTGTAACAAAAAACGTTTTCATTTTTATGATCTATATTTGCTATACGATTCGTAATAAATAATAATTAATAACAATGAACTAATACCAAACGCTTATTAGTAAAACACTATAACGAGTTTACGTTTCCAATTTTTGAGCAAACCCAAAATATTTGAAATACTATAATTATTAAGTTTAGACCAATATAATATTATTACTTACAAGGAAATCGCAATTTCTGTTATCTCATCTGATTGATGATACATTTTTAATGTGTGTAATTTAAAATTTATTCTTTACATTGTGCTTATCATAAAAAAATACTCTCTCGAATACGTTATTCGACATTCGGCTAAACACATTACGAGGAACTCGTCCTGTTTTTCCACTTCCTCGCACCGTTTTTATTATGCGGGAAAATGGATAACTCGCCCCAAACGCATGACGCCTGACAATTGTATTGTGTTGTTCGTTTATACGGTCTTGTTAACATTTTATTTTTGCGTCAAACGGCTCTACAGTTCACACGACTCTGCTTATTAATTGCACCACCGTCAACGATTCATTTAAAATTCACATTTTGAGAAAAATCGCACGCTACCTGCTATTATAGCATATCATAGAGCAGAAGTACATAACATAATAATAATAATATCAACGCGGACATCATAGGTTGCTATATAAATAATATTGTATTTTCCGTATACCACAAACAATAATAATTATACCATCATCATCATCATCATCATCACTATTGTATCACTATTTTACTAATAAAATTTTAAACACGCCGGACACGCGAGTACATCTATACATAAAATTAAAAAATATTAAAAACGTCAAGTTCATGTTATGTCAGTCGATCGCGTTCGATCGTCCGCGAGTGCAATCAAACGGTAAAACCGTGGAGCGGATATTATTGAATAAACGTAGTCGTTCAACGGATTTGGAAAAAAAAAAAAAAAAAAAGGAAAAGGAAAATTAAAAACACACCGGAAATTTTCGTTCAATTTGGACAGGAGCAGGCGACTGTAACGTTGATCTGGACGAACCGCCAGTTGCGGACCAGTTCTTCCGGCAACAATCCATCGTCCGGGGGAGAATTCGTCACCCCCGGGCCCGGTTTCGAGTCATTATTGTTTCTCTTCAGCACCTGCACGGGATACACGTACTCCTTGCACCAATGCCAACCGCTGCATGTGACCGCCGGCAGTATGTTCGGGAAGTGGTCGTCGCTTAGCTCCATCGGTTGGTGGTTGAGCGTGCAGTCGCTGCACGTTGCGGCCACATTGGACCGCCTCATTCGTTCCTCGGCGGCCGCAACGGCTGCTGCGGCGGCTGCGGCTGCGACCGCGGCCATCCCCGTTCTCTGCGGTCGGACGCTGCTGCCGCCCTGACGCCACATCCGTTCGCCGATCTGCCTAGAATACCGGCCGAACGGCTCGCCCCGCGGTTGCGTGTCGAACATCACACCGAATCGCAGCCCGTCGTTTGTCGACCGACATGTGACTGGCGGTGCACACGACACCAACGCCTGCGTGCGAAAAAATATTCAAATATCGATTAATATCGCTGACCCCTTTGAAATACTACGCGGTATTATAGGTTAGAATAAGTTTTTGAATATCGGTAATACCATTAAAAAAAAAAAATAAAAATAAAAAGAGCTGCTGACGGGTGTGCCATTGCTGTACAGGTGGGAATTTGGGAAGATAGAATACGTAACTTTATTTAATTTATACCCGTGCGAAACGATAGACCGTTGCTGACGAATAACGATACCAATCGAAATTCGACTTGAAACACGTTTTGAATGCCGTGGTTTTTACGATTTTTGTCAAATGTTCAATTCAAAACACGTATGAACGCAAATCTATTAAATTAAGTTCGACGTATGTAATTAACTTAATATTATAGTGTTCTATACAATTGTGTACGACTATTTTTAACCAAATTACAACAAAAAGACAAAATCGTATGCGACGAAACTGTTAAAGTCGTAAACTTTCTCACTTTTCTTATATTTTTCTCGGTATTCCCATTTATTAAGGAAACTACAAAACAAATCAAATCGCATGTAAAACATTTCATTTAAGAAAAGATGATACCCTTTAAATCAAAATTTCTAGTAGAAAAATAAAATCGAAAAAAAATGTTAAACTTTGAACTGCCGTCAATTAGCTCATTTTCCCCGTAAGTTTTTTTTTTGCGGTTTTTCCAAGTATATTGTAAAACACAAGGGAAATAAAAATATGTCTATCTCTACGTACTAAGCGCGTTCAAAATTCTACAAAAAAGCTTTTCTGTCGGTTTTCGATTGGAACAAGATTTCTGGCGGAAAAGTTGTTTACAAACAGAAAAATCACACATAGTGATATCTAATATATTCCTTACTCCATTTGAAATATAAAATAATACTCTAATTTAAGACATTGCCGTAACACTAAAAAGAACACTTGTAGTACAACTTTTAATAAGTATGTACCGAGAGAAAAACGCAAATACAATTGTAAATGTACCTATTACACGAGTTTACGGACTCCGGGAGGACGTTAAGAAAAAAAAAAAAAGATGTTTACGTATACCCATGGGTTTTATTATCGATCTATTTTCCAAAACCCTATTTTGCTAAACCCACCCACGCTCCCACCTCGATTTGCATTGTATTTCCTGAAAAATGTAAAAAATTATATTTTCTTCAGATTGAACCTAACCGACACTATATTTTGTTTTAAAAGGAACGATTCAAAAGTTTTGTTCGGTCTTTATTTGTGTGAATAATAAGACACTTTGTCTTTTGCGCTAATAATGCGATTTCATTGTACTGTGTGACGTATTTTCAAAAATTAAAGAATCCAAAGTAGTTATACAGTACTAAACTATAGTTTCCCGTATTGAATTATTCTTTGAATAATTTTCAAAGAAAATTATTTAAATTAATAATGCGTAAAAAAAAAAAATAATAAAACCTTAAAAATTTTAGAAGTATTTTATCTACCGACGAATTTTTTATTTATTTTTTTTTTTTTTTGGTGTGGGGAAATTGTGGTTTAACGCATTGAACAAATGGTTTTTCGAAATTAATAGACGCATTTCGGGCGAAAAGCAAAAACAAATGTATTTCGAAAATGCGTACTTACGTGTAATGTCCAGATCGTAATACCTCTCAGGACAACGTGCATTGTTTGAATGAAATGAATGTACAGCCGTCTGCTTTACCATCCCTTTACTATAAATAGAACCGTATTACATACAACGACATGATGTATTATATAACAATGGAACTACCCTCGACTTATACCGAATAATGGACCGCGTAACAAGATAGGTGTTTTGCGACTATTCGGTCGCGCACAATGACGTCATTGAAAATCTCGACACAACGTATTATACATATATATATTTATTACATGATTTTTTTTTTCTCTCTCTCTTTTTCTCTCTTTCTGACCCGCAGGATATTTTGAGTTTTCCGATCAAAAAGCTGAACGCGAATACCGAGTATTTTCTTCAAGTGCAAGCCATTAGCGAATTCGGAAGAAAAAGATTGACCGGTCGAAAAGCGTCGACAACCCTGAAAACTAAAGGTGAATGAAAACACATGTATCCTATCGTAGGTGTACACGTATAATACACCGCATTTATAACTATTATATTATTTATGTCTTTAGTATACAACGTCCAATAATAAACAGTATGTATGCATTTTTAATAAAAGCGCATCATAATTTGTAATGATTTTATTTTGTATTGTTTTCCGCTGAATTTAACGCGATCTCGGGGTTTGTGTGTAGGCAAAACTGTAAACGAGGCCGGACAAGCTGCCCCGGCACCGGCCTTCGAAACCCCGTAAATTGACCATCTTTCCACATAAATTAAAATTATTACGTACATATTTTTGTAATATTATAAACATTTTTTAACGAACATTTTATAAACACACAAATAACGACACAGTGATGAGCCCGTTACATCTGTAATGGCCCAGGGGGTCCGCCGTCCCCTACTTAATCCGGGCCCGACTACAATTTCGTTTAACAATAACCATACAGTGCGTTCGAAACATTTTTATAAATGCGTACTTATCATTATTAATTATTTTAAATAATTGTATTATATTGTATTGCTATATAACTTACTGCGGTTTCTGCAATATATTTCTTTCGGTCTACACTTTTTATAAAAAATGCAATACGTACTCAATTGTACATTAATGAAATTCACATAGAACACAAATAATATGTTTTATTACTGATAATTAGGGCTCAGGACTTTATGCACTTAAAATCCACAAAAAGGCGATAAAATAATCGTGAAAAGGGCTTGTAAATGCAATTGAAAAAAAAAAAAAAAAAATCAAATAATGGTAATATGTTTTTAAACCCCCACTCCCCCTCATCGACTAGCTCTAACTTATAACATACAATTTTCGAACACTACAAAAATTATTAACACAAGTTTTTAAATAAAACTACTGTAAGTACTATAAAAAAAGAAAATTACATGTTTTAGATAATTACATTTATAAATGATTAGAGATGTTATGGAGATTCGGGGTGGACATTTTAAACCCTTCTGGGCTCTCTGATTATTTTTGCTTTTTAAATTTTTTCAGAGTTCTTTTAAAGTTATCAAACTGCTTTCTATGGATTTTAAAGGCATAAAGTCCCGAGCCCGGCTGATAATATATGAGCACATCGACAATTCATTCGTATATTTTAAAAAAAACATATTTTTATGGATTAAGTATAGGTACTTGTATTATTTTCCGATACTATGGCAATTATTGAATTATTTTAGTGGTCCAATTATTGGTATTCTAGTCTTGGTGTTTGCAGGTGGAGTTATATAAAATATACCGAACACGACGTCTAATTACGTTGAAAAATATAACGATTCCATAAAAATATTTTTCTTTTTAACGATTATATTGCGTAATCGGGACACTTTCGTAATATCTATATTATATAATTCACTTATGAGTTTATGACGTTATAAGCTCCTAATAAAATTGCAATTCTTTCACTGTACCCATAAATATAATTTTTAAACTATAATATTTACAACGAAAATATTAAAATTTAAAAATAATGTAATTATGCACGGATTCGATAATCTCAATAAGTGTTTAATTAACTTTTTATGTTTATTATATTATGCACACTACTGAATTACTGAACTATTATGCTCGTACGTTACTGAATCGAACCGATCGACATTTGTATTTAAATGATAAGTGAATTTAATATTAAAAATTACATTGCTGGAAGAAAAATTACTTTAGTTTATTGTTGTTTCAGGCAAAAAATTATTGAATTCTAAGAAAATCAAAGAATTAAAACTCGTGAATATAAAAAATATTGATAATCTAAACAGCGATTTAGTAAACGTTAGAATATCTTGGAGTCCGGTCGTTAGACCATTATTGTTATCAAAGAAAATCGTTTATACTTTGTCGTGGTCGCCAAAAGACTGTGACGATAAAAGCAAAGCACTCAGAGCAAAGACAAAAGTAAGTTAATTACGTCATCAGCTGTTTATGTTTACCATAAACTTTTATACATTTTCACTGGCACATTGTTTCTATGCGTTTTCATATGCCCGTAGTACTCTTAAATTATTTTGTTTTGATTATTTTAGATGGCGTACTTTGATTTGCTTTCCTTAAATCCGCAATGCAAGTATTTAATTGTGGTCTCGACCAAACTTAATGGATCGAAATACGTGGGTTCTTTTACTTTCGATACACCCACACTGTAAATATCTTGTACCGTAATGGAGTCTTAAAATACTTATAAGCTTAACAATATAATATTATTTTATGTGCATGCATTGTATACTTCTATTATTTCTAGAGAAAGACGAACATAATATCGTGTATATTTATTAAAAAAAAAAAAAACCGTATTGTTAATAATAACTAATAACATAATATTATACGGTTAAGCACGATTGAATATGAAACACGAAATTCATAATGTATACTGTAGGTACCTACTCGTAGCTGTTAAAAATATGTAACTTATGTGTTTAGGAACGTTAAATGTGTACAATTTTAATATTATATTTTATTTTATACCTAGCTGCTATTATTCTGTACGATGTATTTAAATCGAATGTTATACTCTATTGGAATTTATACGAAATGATTCGATGATTGTAAAATTGAACAACGCATCGTCGCAAATTTGTAAACTTAATAACATTATTTATAATCGAAATCAAATCCGATAAAACATTTTAATGTTCATTATTAAATAAATCAAAATTTGCAATTATTTTAAGGAAGTAATTGTCCGAAATTGTCCGAGGCTCCCCGAGCGCTGGGGCCCCGGGGCACTGTCTCGCTTTGCCCTATAATAGCTACGCTGCTGTATACAGAAGTTCTAGTTCTAGCACCGTGATATTGTATTAACATAAACGTATCTAATTGGGTAGGTAAGCATAAATACCACGGTGTTTATTAATCGATAAGTTTCACAAAAGCATTTTCGTTTTTAAGATTTTTAAAACAAAGTGTATAGTATGTAAGTTTATAACCATATATCGTGTATAATAACACTGAGACAGTCGTTTAGCTATACAAACTCGAATTACAAATCGATTCTGGACTTGGTGGATAGGTAAGTTCTTTTATTTAAACTCGAACGGAACCAAATACATTTGTTGGGTTATTGACGTATTAGAAATAGCCAGCGAACAATTTTAGAAAAGCCGTGGAATCGCACGTTCGAGTGGACCGAAGACACTGAAGACAACTCGTAATAACATAAATTATTGCATCTTAATAAGAATTTTTATAATGGACGTAAAACGTTTGATAAAAACTACGGCAAGCATTTCGGAATATTGCCTCGAGAATACCTACCTTTTATAATTGATTATAGTTTGTAAATTATATAAATTATATGCATATTACACACCTAAGTACTTACTGTAGACGGCATGCTAATGTGATGATTTAAAACTTTTGTACGGGGTTTTCACGAAAAACTTCATGTTTTCACTGATACCATAGGTAATAAATATTTTACACCTACATAGGTATGTACACGATTCCGATATCACATAATGTGCCTACCTGCCTATATACAATGACTCAGAGATGTTAAAAATTCATTATTATATAACCACTATGTACAGATAGGTGCGTAAAACGTTTTCGATTATAAATATTAGTGGACAATATTATTATTGGAGCTCGTTTTGTTATAATTATTTTATCGTCTGAATATCACATAAATTGTACCTATAATGTCCAATAGTCGAATATTAAAATGAAAAACAAACGAGACCCTTGTAATATTCAGTTGCATACACACAATTGCCGTTGGTAGATAAAGTAACCAAGTTATCCGAATACTTATATTAAATACTTAATAATTAATATAAAAGTTTTTCTGGACACTTTAGAATTAATATTTTTAATAATTTTACGAGAGCCCTGCGATCTGTCGATTTAGTGTGTAGGTACCTAGCGCGTTGTAGCTGAAAATCTATCCACTAGAGAGCAACGCACATTACATTCCGCCAAGAATATTAATTATATTGACTATCTGCCACAATTATTAATTTTTATAAAACATTATTTATGATATTTTACATAATATTATATAGGTACACAATACAAGATATTTTTAGTGTATATTGATCAAAAGCAAACATTTTTAAATAATATGTTTCGACGATACATATAATAATCGATAAATATGAATTGTATGTGTTTTATAAATATTATTATTATTATAATAATATTTACAGGACCGGATTTAGACTTCCGGATGCCTGGGGCAAATGTTTTTTTGAGGCCCTTAACAGTAAATAAATTAAAAATACCCAATATCTAAGTAGTTAAGGAAAAAATTAAAAAATGTCTAACTTGCAAGATATACCTATTTACATAAAATGTATTTATTACAAGTTTGAAATACTGCTGTTTATGTATCACAAATTTCAAAATTCATTTAAATATAGCAATGTTTTAAGAGTAAAAATAGGTATAATAATCCCATAACATTTTATTTATTTATTTTATTTAACACCCCAAAGAGGTAATGAGTACAGAATATTACTATATAATACATAAATACTTAAAACTGTTGGAATATAATCACTTCATTACAATATTCCTTAATTCAACAAGTGTGCCAAAACAAAATCAAAGTTCAATATACTGTTACCGTGAACCAAAAGTCGATACTCCGGGCTATTAGCAATTAAGTATACTTTTATTAAAAATTTTAAAATCAAATATTCTTACTGTTACATGAATAATTCCGAAACCAAAATGACAAACTTACTTCGCACAATGGATGCAGCCACTGTTGTTAGTAAGAAGTTGGGATGGTAGGATTAGAGGGTAAATTGATTTATATCTGTAAGCAACGATAAACGATTACTTATTAAAAACGATTCTAAGCGGAGTTCAGTTGATAGTAATGCTTTGTCAACAATACACCTATACGTCATATTATAGTAAAATAATTAAATAGGCATTATATATATTTTTTAATAATATTTGTTGAATATTGTACCAATGTTCCTGTTTTACTAGTTTTTCATATTTGCTGGGAAAACTCTTGAGAAAATTGAAAAACGACCTCCCTTAAATACCTCCCCAATCAGATTTCCTTTCAGAAAAAATGATATCATTGTAAATCGAAGCCAAATTGCTGGTAGAATAATTGTTCACAGAAAAAAAAAATTATAATATTTTGCTGATATGTTTTGTAAATTTTTACATCGTATACATCGGTATAAGCTTACTGGTAGAAACATTGTTCACATAAAAAAAAATTAAAAAATATAAACATCTTTGTAAAACCAATACATTTTACGCTACACTCAGAATCTAAACTATACGAAACACACGCATGTACGTAACAGTCTGAATTTGCTGTTAAGTATTTATTCATTTTATTTAAAAATAAATCATATAACCACTGGAACATTTATACCTATATACTAAAATATTTTGTGTTCACTGGACGCCCCATTGCCATTATGCAGTCACGTGTCATAAATTTTTTAAGCCAAGGATCAAAAAGTTTTAAATTTTTTATATAGTATTCCGGTATCCGGATACCCCCTAAACATCTACTGCCTGGGGAAAGTGCCCTTAAAACATTCCGTCTAATACGGCCCTGCATATTGATTATAGAATTAAATACTTAACAATAATAAAAAAAAAAATTATAACTTTTCCTAAAAATTTGCGGTACCTTACAAACATGGAAACTAGGTTAGTGTGCAAATTTAGTATTATTATTAGCGTGTCGGAAAGATCGAAAGTCGCACGGGCATTTTCTATGTTAATTTATACAAACTTTGCTACTACACTACTAAAGACTTTTCTTTAAGTAAATTGAGTTCATCCATAATATACACTTTATGTGTGTATAGTTTAACAAATTTGGGTTGTGCACAAATTTTTCCCGTGCGTAGCCGATCATATTATTTGTCAGCTATAGGTACCTAATAAAAAATATTATTTATTTTTTTTTTCTGAATTAACATTTGTCGTTACTTAGCTAATTTTTCAAAGTAATTTGTACAACGACTAACGAACCAGTAATCGTTGAGATAATTGTGGTATTATAATATATTATACATGGTTACGTCTTACGTATATATTTACTATGGCCCGGGTTATCTTCTAAAAATGGTTTTCATAAGAGTCGTACGCATATTATGAAGTATCTGGGGAAAAAAAAAAATGTTTACAGACAGAAATCAAAAAAAAAAAAAATAGACAGATCCCTCGCTGCGCCTCGAAATAAATTTCATCAATATTTGTACAGTTGAAAAACCATATAAAATATAAAATGTACGAATCAAATATAAAATTTCAAGTTGATCAAATCACGGGGAGTTAAAAAGATTAAGAAGCAAGTTAATTTAGCTATACAATATCTATCACTTCACTCTGAATTTTGAATACGTTTTTTTTTTAAATATTGGCGTATTATAATGTCTAAAAATCTCGTTCGGTTTTTTTCTTTTTTTTCAGAGTTTTACGTTTGTTTTCGAAACAATTATATTAAGTATAGGTATACGAGAAAAATTAAAATTAGAATTTGTATGTCTCGAATAACATTTACAATACGAAAAATAAATAAATAAATGTCGAGGTATTATTCGAAAAGTTTTGAATCGACCGCGAGCAGGAAAATATTAAATTAGATATGGGTAGGTACCGAACGTTGTTTACCCGCGTTATTTGTGCCGCTTTATAATATAGTAGATAATAATCTACTATAATAACTGGTGGTCCACATTCATAAATAAAAAAAATATGTTACGACTATCTGCAATCGCGTTGAACTCAAAAAGAATTCACTTTTCCTAAGAATATTTCGTAGTTCTACGAAACTTAAAAATAATATTAATATTCTATTCGGTAAACCTGTGCGTTTTATTTTATTTCCGTATTACACGCACTCGATATGATATTCGGTTGTATCTGTCATATCTATAGATATGGGCATCTCGTATATTATTTTATACATTTCCAATATTCGTATATATATTCATTCACATTTATAATGTCAAATATTCCCTAATCGATTATAATAGTGATTATTATTGGTTAAAAATTGCAATTACCCACTATATAAAACAGAATTATTAAACTCACAAGTAATTTAACTCGATTCGTATAGCACTGAAGCAAATAATTTAGTTAAATTTTTATGGCAAATAACACTGAAATTTAACGTATTTTTTTTGTACGTGAATTTACTTCAAAACTACTATATTATTTTGTTTATTTTTTTATGTTATTTATGTATGTAGAGAAACTAAAACTATTTTATTGATATTTTGGTGAAACTCGGTTTTAGGCGAGGATGAGCATTTTCATATATTTTAACCTATTAAAATTCACGTTTTTCGGGGGCTTTATTTTTCAAGTATAATAATGTTAAACCAAGTCGGGATACTCTGGATATTTTTCCGTTTGCTCATATAGTACTTATTGTTACGAGCTGTCGTACTCGTTATAATAAGCTGAGAAATAACTTTTTTTTTTTTTTAAAAATCAACTGTTTTAGTGAAAGGTATCCAAAGCAATTAAAAATTATAAATCGCATAGCAATTACTTTATATATACTAATTCGATTTGTATATAAACTCGTCTAATACCAAAGTACAATTTTTTTACTAAAAATTATTTAAA